TTCCTGGGTTCGATTCTGGTTAAAGGCATGTACCTCAGTTGCAGGTTCAATCCCTAGCCCTTGTCAAGCAAATGTAGGTTGCAACGGATTGATGTGTTTCTCTCACATCGATGTTATTCTTGCTCTGTCTCTCCTCTTTCCTCCAACTCTCTCTAAAAATCAATGGAAAAATATCTTTGGGTGAGGATTAACAACAACAACAATAAAATGTATATATCTTTATTATTATTGACTTTATACTTGATTAATGCTCTAGTCCAATACAATTTTATCCTGAGGCTTGAAATTTTCTTCCAAGGCCAATATTTATTGGTTTTACTTACATTAATATTTTTCTATTAAATTATAATTTAAAGTTTAACCACACATAGTTGAATCACTTAGTCTCTTTTTTCTACTTTGTCTTAAGTATTTTCTTAAGCCATTGGGAAAAAACAAAGTTATAATATTACTTTAATGTTAGAATTTGCAATCTACCACCTTATCTTTTTTTTTTTTTAACCAACTCATGTTTACTCTCCTTTGGAAATTACTGTATTGAAAAGGAATCCACAAATTTAAATATAGAAGGTAGAAAATGCCAAATAAAAAATTATTCAAGGTCATGAATATTTTCTTTTTAAAAAATATATTTTTATTGATTTCAGAGATGAAGAGAGAGGGAGAGATGAAAACATCAATGATGAGAGAGAATCATTGATTAGCTGCCTCCTGTGCACCCCCCACTAGGGATCAAGCTTGCAACCCCAGCATGTGCCCTGACCAGGAATATGAACTGTGACCTCTGGGTTCATAGGTGGATGCTGAACCACTGAGCCATGCTGGCCAGGCATGAATGTCTTCTTAAAGACAGAATGATACATGTCCTTTCAAAGACAGTACAATTATGTTCTTTTCTTCTGTCTCCACTGGTCTTTTCCTTTGCTTTTGACTAAGTCTTTGAAATTTAAAAATAAACCTCTCAAGAAAGGACTCGGTTTTTCTTTGGGTGGAAAGGTCAAGGACAAATGAGAAGAGAGTCTCCATCTCTACCCCATTGACCCTCACTTCAGGACCATCTCTTCTCCACTATGATGGTTTGTCTGAGGCATCGTCTCCTTCCTGTTTGCCAAGAATTTGTCTAAAAAAAGGACCTCTCCATTCTGTGCTGTGAGTCACATGGTCTCTGTAAGAGTCCATGCCCTTTGCTGCAGTTAGCTGCTCTTGAATTTGTACAAAATTTGGTGGTTAGTTGGCAAATGGGACACAGCTGACTTCTGATTTAGAGAGTGTCTGAAACGAGTTACCTCCTACCTTACCTTGATCATTTAAATGGAAAGCAATACTGCTCCAACAGAGCAGACATGATATGAAAACTATGTCTTAAATTTTTTTTATTATATATTAGTATTTTTTATTGATTTCAGAGAGGAAGAGAGAGGGAGAGATAGAAACATCAATGATGGGAGAAAATCATTGATTGGCTGCCTCCTGCACACCCCACACTGGGGATCGAGCCTGCAACCCAGGCATGTGCCCTTGGCCGGAATTGAATCCAGGACCCTTCAATCTGCAGGTTGATGCTCCATCCACTGAGCCAAACCAGCCACGGCTGAAAATTATTTCTGACACGAATATCTTCCCTCCCAAACTGGCAAGGCTACTGGTATATCTGAGTGGGAAAGTTAAAAAAAAACAACAAACACATGGGTTTTACAATTCTCACAAATGGTAAACTACCTTTCTATTATTTAAGACAAGCTTTAAATGTTCAGTGAATTGTTTTTGGCTAATGACAATTGATGCAAACAATATAGCAATAATCTAAAAAACCAGAATGGCCTTTTGTAGCAATTTGGGGTAGAAATTGCTGATAATAGCAGTGCACATAATGGCTGTAGCTTGGGCTGAGGAATTATTTTACCTTTTATTTGCAAACAAGACAGTATTCTTTTGCCCTTGAGGAGTACCCAGGTCACTTATTAATATAAGAATACTGGTATCCTTTGTCCATGGCGGTGAGGTTGGCAGAGGCAGTCCCAGGATCCCGATCACATGTGTCTTAGCATCTGGAGGAGCCTCAGCAGGTCTTTTAGGAGGAGAGCATTCTGTAGTTGAAGATGTCTAGACCTAAAGCAGGAACACTTGGGGAGAGTCCTGGCTACAGACTATTAACTGTCAGGAATTGAGCTGTCCATACCAAGTTCTCACCAAGGCTTTTCCAGACTGGCTCCAAGGTTCCTCTCCCGCGTTATTTTTATAGTCTTTACTCTTTACGTGCTCCATTCCAGCGCCTGCAGCATTTCTCACACATTCCAGAGACACACTCTTGTTGTCAGGCTTTCTGTACTGCTGTTCCCTCTGCCCAGAATGCTCTTCCCCCAGAGGCAAGCTGACTTTTATTTTTATTTTTTTAGCCGATCCAATATGTTCCATAGTATTACAAATCCTTCACATGTTTACTTGGTGAATTCTGATAGTAACTGTAGGATGTGGGCAGTGCCATTGGATGGATGGGAATAAATGGGGGCACAGTGATACATTAGAGGGAGGCCTGGAACTAATGATGTTCAGGTGGGAGCCAAGGCTTATTCTTACCGTCTCACACAGGGCATGTTTTATGCCTTTCCTTTAACCCCAGAGCTCCTCCTTGGAGAGCATTTCCTACTACATATTAAAGGAAGAATCCCTGGGACTCTTTAAAAAAAATATATATATATATAATTATTGAATTTTTTTACAGAGAGGAAGGGAGAGGGATAGAGAATTAGAAATTTCGATGAGAGAAAAACATTGATCAGCTGCCTCCTGCACACTCCCTACTGAGTAGGTGCCCACAACCAAGGCACATGCCCTTGACCGAATCAAACCTGGGACCCTTGAGTCTGCAGGCTGACGCTCTATTTATTGAGCCAAAACAGATGGGGTAGTGATGGTCCTGAAATGAGGGTCAATGGGGTAGAGATGGAGACTCTCTTCTTACTCTGTATATGTTGTAGCAGCACTAAATGCCACCTATCTTTTAGTGCCTACTTACCTTGCTTATCTCTTTGTTTATCCACACCCCCCCCCTAGAATGCACACTCTATGAGGGAAAGGCCTTGTCCTGACCAGTGTATCACCACTCCCCCTGCACCCCGAAATGAACTGGAATGGACTGGAATAAGGGTATGAGTGGTGTTAGAACGGTCATGTTTTAAGTGTCTCATTCAGCAGCCATTTACGGGGTGTCGGTTTTATGCCAGACACCACACTGGTTCTGGAAATATGAAAGTGAACCAGAGTGATGGGAACTCCTAGGTTCCTGGTTTCTGTGGTGCTTTCAGAACACCTCAGAAGCAACATGCAGTTAACAGGCAGTGACATGGGGTAAGCACAATATCAGGGCCAATACAAGGGGCAGTGGGGAAGCAAGGATTTAGTGAAAACTAATGTGCAGGCTGTTATCTATGCCAAAACCTAAAGGGCAGGCTGAAGGGTAAGGGCCTTAGAAGTGGGTTTGGGAGAACAGGAAGCCCTGAGAGAACACCTTCCGGTTCTAGAAACTGTTTGAGCAGGACTCGGACAGAGAAGATAAGGGAAATAATTTATCTGGAGAAGGAAGCTTGCGTCAGGACTCGATTGCCCAAGCAAGGTGATGAATTTTTAAATCAATGGGATTTTTTTTTTTACTCAGTATGTGATTGCGTTTACCATCTTCAGTCAGGCAAGTTGGCGGTATTCCCATTTTCAAGATGGGCCAACTGAGGCCCAGGATGACACATTTAAACATCAGCCAAGCTGGTTTCACTTCTTTCATATCAGGGCTGTCAGGGCTCTTACCCCTTTCTCTCCCACCCTCTCTCCTTCCTTCCTGCGAATTATTGTTCTTGTCCAAAGTCAAACAAAACTATTAGCTCGCCTCCCTTATCTTTCTCCAAGGGACATGCATGCACTTACACAGCTTCCAGAAACCAGACCCCTAGGCGGAAGCTGGTGGCCTCAAGGATGGCGGGACTTGACCATGGATGAGCATAATACTGTGCATTGGCCCTGAAGTCTCTGGTCTGGACCAGCAAGCTGGATCTGTACCAGGAACTTCCTCTCTGAAAAGGAACTCAGGGCTGGGGAGCCCAGAGCGGACTTGAAAAAGTAGAGAGCGGCTCAGCATTGGTCTGCCCGGTGCTTTGGGCATGCGTGAGCACTCACAGCAAACACAGCTGGCGAGGCTAAAATTAGCCCTGCCAGCCTTGCAAAGAGACCCTTTAAGGAAATATATTTTCTCAGAAACAATTTGTATTATAATGCAGCAGCTGATGGGCAAGTCAGAATATTACTTACTATTGGTGGGGGGAAAACTCTGCTAAGCAATTATGATTTTCATTCCTTTTCTGTGTGTGATATCAGTGCAGCAATGAGAACATCCATGATCAAAGTCATCATAACGAGATAGACAGTGAGAGGACCGGTGTTTTTATGTATCAAGAAGTTCATAAACCCGACAGAACATCTCTTTTGACATTTCCAAACGGGATGTGCTGCTAAGAGTGACTGTTTCAGCTCTAAGTTGGTCCCTGTGATCCCTTGTACATGGCTTATTAACCTGGTGTAGACTCCAAATTTCCTCCACCCTCGGCATCCTCCATGCCCTCCAAGAAGTAAAATATGTTAGTTTCTAAAAGGTTCTTTCCTAAAACGTTAGATACATCTGGCTTCGGGGCGTTCACGGGTTTTGAAAGCCTCCGGAGACACACTTTTTGCAATTTTTAACCAATTAGGTTTGTCCCTCTTCCTGGATTTTTTTTTTTCTTTCTTTCTTTCTTTCTTCCCCTCTCTCCCCTCCTTCCTCCCTTGTCTCGCCTCCCTCCCAAGGAGGTCCGCACTGTTTTTGTTTAGCGGGGCGGCTTACCTTTAAACTTGGCAGGAAAAGGAGAGAAGGCAGCTCCTCCGTGAAGTCCATGGAGGGAAGGACAAGAAGCAATCCACCGCCCGCAGCTGAGTCCCCCGGTTCAGTTCCAGCGGCGGCAGCCCCGCTGCAAAAATCACTTTGCTATTCCAGATAGCCAGCAGAGGGAATCGGAACTTTGCTTGCAGCAGGGGTTGAAGCAGCCTTTTTTTTTTTTTTTTTTTCTTCTTGGAGGAAATACTGCAGCCTTCTGGACTGCATACGCCGCTCCCTGGAGAGGCTCTCTCGGTTCCACCCACCGGCTGGAAGGAGGGGAAGTGAATGAAAGGACAGGACAAGCCCGGATCACCATGTCACTCTGGGAGGGAGACAGCAGCAACTAAGCTGTGCAAGGTTTTTTTTTTTTTTTCTTTTTTTTTCTCCTTTTTTTCTTTTCCCCTTTCTTTTTCTTTCTGTTCCCTCCCTGTGTTTCTTTTTTTTTTTCTTTCTTCTTTTTCCTCTTTCTTTCTTTCTTTCTCTTGATTTGCTTTTGCTTTAAGGTGAGGAAAGAGACAAGCAGAAGACAGGAAGCTGATCTGCAAGGATTCGGAGTTATGCTGAAAGGACTTTGATTTTTTTTTTTTTTTTTTCTTTCTCCCTTTTACAAACGCTGGCAATTGACATCAATCCAGACAGCCTGGTAGAGGAGCAAACTGCCTCATCCCAAGTGGACCCCGGCAGCTGGGAGAAGGCAGACAAGATCTGGGGAAGCTGTGTGTGGGGTTTGATTTTTCCCACCGATCCCCACCTCCTTTTATTTTTATTTTTATTTTTTTTATTTTTCTCCTTCCTTTGGTGTGTTTCTTTTTTTTATATTCTTGCTGTGTTGGAACTAGCGAGTGGTGGAAGCCGAGGAATCTCCGAAGCCTCATCAGTCATCGGGACTGTCAGGAATAGTGGTTTTAAGAGGAAGCTCGGCCTGGGGCACTATACCCTGTCATCCAGTTCCCTGCCTCGGAGATAAAGATTCCAGCTACATGGGCAAACGCCTGGATCAGCCACAAATGTACCCCCAGTACACTTACTACTATCCTCATTATCTCCAAACCAAGGTATGGCTCTGACCCACAGTCTGGCTAGTCAGCGTGCTGTCCTTCTGCAACTGGGATAGGAAACAGGCAGGCATGTGAATTATTATTTACCTCCCCTCCCTCTCCCATCACCTCTTCCTGCTCCTTTGAAATTAGTAACATGCCCAGCGGAGTTAACAAGGCAGCGGAGACTAGAGGGAGAGAGCAAGCCTGGGATCCTGGCTTTCTCTTTAAGGAGAGAGAATAGTTTCGCGGGAGTTCTTTTGTTGTTATTTGGCAGCACAGACGTTCCTGGTGTCTGTAAAGTCCTCTGCAGATGGGCAGGGTTGTTAGAAAGGAGATCCTAACGGTGATTATCAGGCTCGAGAATACAATTTCAGGGGCTTTTCTGGTGAGCCGTCCTTTGTTTGTGACTCTGAGAGGGTATTTTTTTTTTTCTCACTGGAGAGGACACGCCAGGGTGGGGGTAACTCAAACTTTTAATCGCTGAATGTAGAAGAAAGGAAGGGTGTGGAAGGCAGACCGCAGTGAACTAAAGTCTCTTGGAGTTTGTTTGGGTGTATTTTTTCTTTTTTCTTTATTTGCTTTATGCGTTTTGTTTCCTATGGGGGGTGATCAGGATCCCACAGACTGAATGGTGGAGCTTTGCCAGAGATGTTCTTGACTTTTAAGAAGCTCCATTTGTCCGTGCTAGCTGCCATCAGAAGGCCTGGGGCTTGGGACGGGATGAAATGTAACTGATGGTAATTGGACGTGGACTGGTTAAATACTCCAGGCTTTATGTGTGTGCTCAAGTGATCATGAGGGGGCCGGTGGGAAGCCCACGTAACTAAGCAGTGGGCAGTGCCAACCATGAACTTTCTCCTGCAGTTCACACATGAAGGACTCTCAGGTGTGATGTCCCCGCTCCAATTTATCAAATGGATTGGATCTGATAATGAGGTTGGGGAAGAGGGGGAGAGGGGGGGCTGTTGGTAGCGTGCCCACCTTGAACGCATGGGTTCTATTTCTTTAGGGGATGATATTATTTTGTATCGCATTAGCCAGACTCCACAGTCCTCTTCGCAGATAAATATGCCAGGAGTGAACAAGGCGTGCCTGAGTGATCTGTGCTGTCACCAGGACTCCTTGATGCGATTAGGCTTTGGGAATTCATGCTGTAGTTATCGCTCCTCTATTCCGTCTCATCAGACAATGCCTGTTTGTGAACCAGACCAGCCAGCGGACTTTCAATATTATAGTCAAGATTGTTGCCTTTTTGCCTCTCTCTTTTTTCCATCGTTCTAGGATTCGCCCTGCCCCTCCAAGGTCGACTCACGTTGCTTTTTGCCTTTGTGAGCATTTAGTTTGTGCTGCTGCTGCTGCTGCTTAAAGAGACCAGCCCAGTGCCTTGAGTTTTAACTCTTTGGGATGGGGAGAAGGCTGCCTGCCTTTCTTGAGGAAATGGCAAAGCAAGGGCAAGTTAAAAAAAAAAAAGGGCGGGGGGGACTGTAGTCATTTCTCATCGCCCCAAGAAACAAAACCAACATACTCAAGGGGTTTGTGTGAAAAATATCAGACATTCCATCCCTTTTACTCATTTGCCTACATTTTCCCAAATGTTTCAGAATTCACGCTCTTCCTTTGGGTCCTTGTTTTCTACTAGGAAGTGTATTCAGGAAAGAAAAAAAAGTTTAGATTGCAATGAATAAATGAATGGAAGAGTTGCTTTTCTGCTTGGGATTTCTTTTTACCTATGAGTTGCAGGAAATAATGTCATGCGCATTATATGAAAGATACAGGATGCTCCATGAGCCACCCTGGTGGGAAGTGTGTGTGTGTGTGTGTGTCTGTGTGTGTGTGAGTGATTGGGGTAAAGGAGAAAGTAGAGTGGGGAGGGAAGAGAGGAGAGCTGTTTTGGGGTCCTATGTCATTTACTGTTATGTAGACAGGCGACATCTGGATCTTGTTACTTTCAAGCCAGTCAAAGCCATCAACTTCTGGAACATTTTTAAAGAAGTGAGATCCATTAGGCGACCTAAGCTGATATTGGGGTAATCAGATCAGGGTGGTAGGAAATATCAGACCAGCTCCTTTGGCTATCCCGGTAGTTCCTATGGATTGTTATGTGGTAAAATTTAGACAGTGCTGTGAAGTTGTCGAGTATTGTTACGGAGGCTCTGAAATGACAGGCATTAGTGACATCCCTGGAAGCTAAAGAAGTGAAAACATGTCCTGTTTTGAAACTTGGACACAAGAGGAATGGGAGGAAGGGTCAATGTGCAATTGCATTTTAAAAAGTGGGTTTTTTTTCTGCCAACGTGAACACTATATAAAAAAGTGCTCTCATGCCCCAGGATAGCATGGGAACCACTGAGTTATTTTAGTATCACTTATTGCCCTTTTCACACTTATATCTCAAAATATAACCTATAATAATTTTGAAGGATTTACATGCTATTTATTTGTAAGTCTAACTGAAATTCACAAAATCCTCTTGTGTTCTAGATGTGACATATAGTTCTAATCCTATTTTGTAATCATAGTTATTTAAAATGGTGCTTATATGTACAGAATGCTTATGGTTGATAGAATTCTGTGGTTGACAACAAAGATCATACATACTCTGGTGATATCATAACTTCAATTGTTCTCCAAATTCTAAATTTCACTAATCCTCAAAAGCTATTTGTGGACATTAGTTTTGGTGGAAAATCTTCATGGGATTTTAAAGAGCTAAAATGCTTATTGTATTTATTCATAAAATACTGAACCTTCTCTCTCTCTCTCTCTCTTTTTTTTTTTTTTTACTTAAATATGTGTGTGAGATATAGTTGCTATTTTCTTGTGATGAAACAAAATGAAAATGGGATTTTTAAATAAATGCAAATGGTTCCCATTTCCTCAAATGTAATTAAGGTTTTTAAAAAAATTGTGACATTTTCTGGCCTTCCTTGCTCCTACTTTCCATTACATTAAAACTAATCTCTGAACTTCATTGCTTAACTTTTTAAAAATAGAAATAAGATATTTATGCTTTTGCCCATTTGAATAATTTTCCAGGTGCTTAAAATGTGTTATTAGAAAAATTTGTGTGTAAGTTAAATAAAATGAAAACCCAGTGGCTGACTTGTAGCAATAGCCTTAGCTTACTCTTTCGGACCTCACATTAAAAGTTGCCCTTTGCAAATTTTCTTTTTGATCAAATCCTTTCCTACCAAGAAGAGCAAGTTTGGAAAAGAATATTGCTTTTGATTAAGGAGTAATGAAGAAATCTTGGTGACATGTCATAATATTTAAATAAGAGACATAACTGGATTTAAAAGCATGAGTTTCATCAAAAGAAATTTGCTATGGGGAATCCACTGAGAGTCATCAGCAGATTTTAGAGAAAGGGGACCAAAAAATGTGTTCATTAGCTAAATGGTAATTTACATAATGATGTTTGATTGAGTTGTAACCCAGTATATCTCAGGAATTTTGTCATAGTCCATTCAAAGCAACTGACCTGTTGCTATTGCATTTTGAGATCCAGAGTGAATTTCAGTCTGAATTTGAGGTTATTTTCTGTGTGTGGTGGTGAGGCAGGAGATGCTCTTAAAAAAACAAAGCAGAAAAGCTAACAAGGGTAAAACATGGTCAGGGCCTGATACATTGATAGTTTGCAGATAACAGATATTTCTCTCCCAGGCATCATGTGATATTTGGAAAACGTCAGTCATCTTCCTAAAATTTGAAGATTTGCATAAGCACACTCGGCAAAGCTGTTTTTTTTTTTTTTTTTTACTTTTTCTACGCCTTTACCAGTCCACTCTGTCTCTTCCAATGCAGGACACCCTTTCTAATCACATTGCTCTTACATCTGTCTATTGCCTTCCCATCTGCTTCCTGGGAAGATCTTGAAGCAGAGGTGCAGACTATGGTTTCTCTGGCAGGTGATGCTCAGATTGTGTTCAGAACCTGGTGTGAAGTTGGGGTCAGGTATAAGAAGTCATTCATCAATTGCATGCTGATTCCAGGCCAGGTTTCCAGCCATCTGCAGCCTGGATTGCCGCCCTTGTCTGAAAGTCTAGCTGGAGCCCAATGGATTGGGCCATAGAAAGAGCAAACAGTTGAGAGCACAAGAGATGAGGAGTAACACAGGGAGAGAGAGGCTCCTTGGTCGGGGGAGGGCACGGGGCGGTAAGGGCTGTTCTTAAAGATGTGAATGTACAGATCCTTCAACAACAAAACAACCCTTAACACACTTCTTGCACATGAAAATGTAGAAAATCTTGCCGAGGGAGGGTATGAGTTTAGAATT